AGAAAACTCATGAGTTTACCCCATGCTAAACAAATATTGGTTGCCATTGGTTAAGTGTTAGTTTTCTTCTTACTCTGGCATGTGAGTACCCAACAATGAACCTCTCTCTGTTTTAGTAAGTGATGCTACAAATCAATTTACAGTTTCTGTTAAGGTGATAGTGACTTGAGTATCCTCTTTTCACTAATTTCAAATGGTTATTTAAAAATATATCAATTGCATAATTCTATTCATGTTCTGTAGAAAAATTAAAGAATGGGGCTAAAAGTTTAACATGATCACGCACATGCTTCGCAGTAGTTATTCACCCTGTGATCCAATACTATGATAAATATTCTGTTCATTGTGTTTTCATCATTATTACAAAGCAATAGCTTCTGTCATATGTTTCTTGTCTGCATTTCCAGGAATAACATTATAGAGTGCTATGTTGTAATTGCTTTGCCCTTTTTTTTCTTTTAAATGCTCAGTGATGCTCCTTAGATAGACTCACCATAACTGGGCAATTGGAAGGCTATATAAGTCATGAAACAGAAAATGAGTGACCTAGACGGGTGGCTCTCTAGGGTCCAGATGAATTGACTGTCACTCCACTTCCTGCTTCAAGAGACCCATCCTTAGCCTCAGCCCTCCCAAGTATCTTTTCATGACAGCCTCCAGGGAGATCACAGACATCAATATATAATTTCATGTATATTGTTCTTCTTAAAGGTCAGAGTATTTCTGTTCTGCTTAAAGGTCCGAGTATGTCCAAAGAACTTTCAAATCAGTCCACATAATAAATTAGATATATTATCAGGGAGTGGGGAGGGATAGGGAGATGGGAAACATAAACAAAACTCCTTAGGAATTAATACAGGGTGAAATATAGCAAAACCACCTTATATAAGCACATCTGAGACCACAATAGCCAATAAGCTCTCCTTCAGAGTGAAGAAAGCTACAAAAGGTAAAGAGAAATGTTATGCAATGATAAACAGAACAAACCATCAGGAAGACATAACGATCCTAAACTGTGTATGCACCCAAAAACATATCAAAAATGATTTAAGCAAAAACTGAAGGAGGTGAAATGAAAACGAATTCAGCACCCCTCCTTCCAGTAAGTGATAAAATTACTAGACAGAAAGGGGGGCGGGGAAGAGGGAGGGAAAAAAGAGGAGCTGATTCCAAGGGCTCAATGGAAAATATATGTCTAGAAAAGAACAACGGAATCCATGTATGAATATGTTGGATACACTTGATGTATGGATTGTAACAAGAGTTGTAAGAACCCCCAGTAAAATGATTATAAAAAACATAACAGGATCTAAATAACATAAATAAAATGCTCCACCAAACAACATCAGAGTACACTTTTTCTTCAAAACCATTTTGTTGGGCGTTAGTACAGATATCAAAGCATTCCATACTTCAATCACATTATGCAGAAATGTACAATTGCTACCACAATCAGTTTCAAAACATTCTTTTCCTTCCTGAACTTGACATCAGGTCCCTTTTACCCACCCCCACCACGAGCACCACTGTATACCACCCCCTTCCCCTGCCCAGAAACCCTTATTCTCCTTGCTGTCCCTATAGGTTCATCAATAGTGGGTTTCATATACTGAGAAACAGAAAAACATGTAACCAAAATTTAAGAGGATTACCCCAAAGGACATAACACATGTGAGATAAACCCCAATATGAACAAACAAAAAGCCAAAAAATACAGACAATGTTGAAAACCAGATCAGGCCTAATGTGCATCCTAGGGGAGATCAGTTGACAAGGTTTTATCTGTTTAAATCCGGTTTCTCCCATTGATCTTCAGAACTCATCTCTCCAATGCACTCTGTGTAACAGCCACTTTTCTTCCATCCCTCAATTGTGCATAGAGGGCAACCAGGGGAGATTTCTTTTCTATGTAATCCCCACAAACATATCTTGGGTTCCCACTGTCATCCACAGCCTCTGCAAATCAGATGCCTACAACTTAGGCTCTGATACTATTCTCTCCTTCAACTTTGGATTATATGATTTACAATCATTTGGTGACTGACGATGGCGTGCTTCTTCCATGTAGACTTAGTTGACTTAGATGGCTGCTTGTTTAGAAACAAGCCTTTAAGACCCCAGGCACTGTTTTATCTGATATAACCGGGTACCATCGGATTTCTGCACTACCCTTTGCCGTAGCACCCATATCTTATATGTTCCCTTCCTGAGGGTGAGTATTGAGCAGTGCCATGATGTAAGAACTATTTGTTCTTAAGTTTGAGCTAGGATTTAGTGGGAGCCCCAAACCCATTCCTGGATCGATGTTGTTTCTGATGTTCTTTAACCTGCCTTTGGCTCCCTTTTGAAACTTCCTTGTTAATTTATAATAGAAAATCTTATTGATCATCCCCCTTGGGAATAACGATCTCCAGTTAATATTGCTTTGATTAACCCCTGGTCCTAATTTTTTTTAAAGCCCTATTGAGAGAGGGACATTGGGACAATGTCGGCTAACTCCATATCACAGTATCTGAATTCATTTGTACAGAATCAATCCTTTCACGATGACGCTATTTTGACAAAGAATGGGGCTTAATTGTCAGGAAATTTTTACAATAGGATTCACTGAGAATGTCAGTCAGAAGTCACTAATGTAGCAAAACCATGTTTGTCCGCCTAATAACAGTTCAACAATCTTGATACAGCTATCTTCTGCTTTCTCAGACACCATGAATTTTTCCATCTTAAGTCCTTCGGTTACAAGTGTGTCTGAGGTAGAGTCCAGTTAACCCAATGGGTTTTCTACATCATATTTCATTGATGCAGCCTCTGAAACATGCTGTGCGTCTTCAATATCCAGGATTCAGTGTCCTAGAGTTCCACGGCACCCACCAGGATGCACCCAGAAGCCCGAATCAAGGTGGCCCATTTGGTGCATACCACCAAAGCCACTCCTCTCTAGGGCCCCCCAAAGCATTTTAAGTCATTTTCCCCCACCCCCAACTGGAGGTCAGTCCTCCTGCTTTTCCTACCAATAGTCACGCATTTGTGTTGCACCAGACATGTTTCCTCCCTTGCCCCTCTCCTGACTTGATTTTCCCATCAGTATCCTTCATCCCTCTGATAGGGAAGTCTGCCTGCCTAGCAGGAATCTCATCATAACTTTTCATGATAGCCACTCAGTATACATCATCCGCTTCCCTTATCTTAACCATTTGATCCCAGCTGACGTGAGGCGCCCTCCAGCAGAGTGACCTTCAAAATACACATCTAGAGAGGATGGTGTATCGTTCCTTGGCACCAGTCAGACTCTCTCCCAGAACTCTGTACCAGGCTGTCTACCCCACCCTGGCCAGCAGACTGGATGCGCTACACGTCTGAGCTTGTGCCTGTTCTGCTGCTTGTTCCTACAGCAGTGGACTCATACAGTATTTTCCCATTTGTGCTTGATTAACTGTACTGTTTTTTAGTGATGCATAGTATTCCGTTGTGTGTATATACCAGAGTTGGTTTTTTGTTTGTTTGTTTATTCACTCTTCCTTCTACTGATGGGCATTTAGGCTGTTTACAACTTCTTGCTCTTGCAAACTGTGCTGCAATGAACATGGGGCGGCACACGTTCGTGGTGGTTCTTATTTCATTGGGGTATATGCCCAGTAATGATATATTTCATTTGTCATCTGTTTTAGGAATTGCCATATCACTTACTACAGTGGCTGTACATATTTATAAGCCCACCAGCAGTGAATAAGTGTTCCAATCTCACCACACTCTATCCAGCATTTGTTGTTCTAAGTTTTCTTAAATTTGGCTACTAATATGGGTGTTAGATGGTATCTCATGGTTGTTTTGAAATGCATTTCCCAGATGGCTAGTGAATGGGAGCATTTCCTCATGTGTTTATTAGCCATCCTAATGTCATCCTTTGTGAATCATCTTTTCAGGTCCTTTGCCCACCTTCTCAGAGGGTTATTAGATTTTTCTTGTTGTAGGCTTGTAATATACTGTAGATTTTAGTAATTACTCCGTTGTCTATTATGTCATTGCTAAATGCCTTTTCCCAACTGTTGGCTTTTCCTCATCTAATGAAATCTTCCTATGTACACAAGTGCTTTATTTTTAATAGGTCCCACTCATCTATTTTGTCTTCCATGGAGTGTTCTTCTTTTGTTATCTCTTGTCGCCCAGGAGAGTACACGGTTTTGGGAATATTCTTGTAACATTCACCAAGATAGACCACCTCCTGAGCCATCAGACAAATCTCAGCCAATTTGAAATCAATGAAATACAGAGTCTTTTCCTCGGGCCATAATTGAATCGTACTAGAAATCAATAGCAGGAAGAAAAAAAGGGGGGAAATACCCTAAATACTTGAAAATTGTGGTTGACACCCATTATTCCAGTTTGTTGCTCAATCCTTGTGTTATACGATCTGACTTTAGGAAGAGCTGTCTCTTATATTGAAAAACATATCAGGATAAGCAAAAAGAAAATCCATTAAGCAGATTGTTTTGAGGGAAAGTCTAGAGGTAGGTAGAAAGTATAGAAAGTTGTTCATTAGGTCCCACATTGCATCTAAGCAAATGAAATGCAGACTGCTGATTATTAATGAAATAAATTTGGTGACTGGCTGGACTTAGAAAGTATGAGAAAAACTGCCTCCTAGGTTTGGGTGCAATTGTAACAGAGCCGAGAAGGATAGTAAGATTAAGATGCCTTCCTAGTGTTAGGCTCATTTAAGTCTAACCAATGAGTATTTACAACTCTATTCATTATAAATCCTGCTCCACTAAAAATGTTTAGTAGAGTTGTCTCTTCCTCCAAGATTTCTCCCCTGATTATTCCATCTGCTAGAGAATACCTAATTTCTGGAAAGGCAGAGAAGTTTCCTCTCTAGCATTTTTAATTGTTCCTTGAGGGCAGGTTGGCAATTGATGTGGCCTATCATGGTATTAGGTCAAGATGGAAGACATGAACCACTGATGTGTGCACATTTTTGCTGTTGTTTCCAATTTTAGAATACAAAGGTGGTGGTAACACCTCTCGAGGAAGAGTGAATTATAAGAGTTATTTCCATGAGAATTGTGGTGAGGAGAACGTTTATTATAAAAACAATGGATATAAGTCTAGGCTTTCCCAATTCCAGGAAGATGATGGAAATACAGCTATGAGTGATATCCAAAAGGACCTCCACCCAAGACAGTAAGTTACCAATGAACGTGATTTGCTTAAAGCTGCTAGTGGGACTATTCAACTCACTTTCTCTGTGTTCTTACTTTACTGCTCCCCATGGAAAATCGAAGGAGTCTAGACATGAAATAATGGTTGAGCAATCATTAATATAGACCTGGTATCAGTGGGGTGAGTATATATAGAAGACTTCCTAAATGTTACGGACACATACTTTGTATTCACTTCATTACAGCAACCTTTCTACCACTGATGACAACAATAGAAAAGTGGCACGGGACAATAAAGATCTAATCCATATTACTGAGTGGAGAGATGGAAACCATCAAATGAGAAACATGAACAAGAATGAGCCTGGGTGTAAGGATAGAACATTTCCAATGACAAAAAATAAGGGGCCTATGCCAAAATATAGAACACCTTCAAAGAGAGAAATAGAAGAGAATGGACAGAATAACATTTACGGAAACTGGTTCAAGATCACAGTGAGTATGAAGAAAACAGTGTGTAGAATGAGCAGTGGGGAGTTTGTGGTGGAGCTGCTCAGGTGGAGATGTGCTCATCGCATGTACACACACCATGCTGGATTATCTTAGGGCAAGTTCAGAGAAGCAATTAAAAGGAAAGGAGAAAATAGCAGGAATGCTAGCAAGGTTGTCCAAAGGCAGAAAGGAAAACCTACTTCCAAGATGGTTCAACTTCCTATAGCATGACTCAGTTTTTTCAATATGAGCATATGTATTGGAGTTTGAGGTGAGCAGGGCCTAATATGAGTTTTTGTCAGAGGAACATGCAGAGACTACATTAGATAAGGAACTTCTGGAAACTTATAAAAGGAAGATCATGGGGAACATCTTTTTTTGGGGGGGGCATCTTAAGGGTCTATTTAGAGGGGAGCTTTTGAATTGAGGGAAAAGAGATTTAAGAAATCCTTATTTGGCACAAATTTAAGAAATCGTGTCAGTGGCCCTTTCGTTGGAAGTCCTTTAAAACTCAGCAGAAGATCAGAACAAAACAGACCCTTTGGTAGTGTGTATTCCCCAGCCTTAATTCCATGTTGTCACTCCTGTCTCCTATACTTTATTTTACCCTTAGATTCCTTATGGGAGAAAGTATACCAAAACTTGGCTACTGAATTCCATACAGAGCAAATGCAGTGTTCACTTCACTCCAGTTGATGTAAGAGAGGATGGTGAAACCAGATAATTGGGTATAGGGGATTGGGGTGCTGGGATGTGTGTGTCTGGATTAGCAGTGGCCTTCACTGCTAAAACTCTTGCTGTCTCTGCTCTCTATAGTTCCACTATGTAAGAAGCCAGGCTCACTTCTTTGTCAAGAATAGTACCACTGCTTTTGCGCTGAAGAATGTCAACTATAAGATTCATGATGAAAATAACCATCAGGTGTGTTTTAAAGACATTAACTGTACCTAGTTCAGGGGCAGGCAGACAGACAGATCAGGGGCTAGAAACTCTTTGGGATCAGAATTCCTGATACTTGAAGTGCCTCTTTTTGTTGCAGGTAAGGCTATTTGTCAAAGAATCTGCGGCGCCCTCTTCCGAGCAGAATAAGTTAAAGCCTGAAGAAATAGAGCAGCTAAAGGTACTGCAGACTCCACACATGCTGTGTGCCCACCCTTTGATCCCCACTCCAATTTGCCCATAACCACCACCACCACTGCTTCAGAATTGTGCATTCCATCTTTGCTTTTGTAGCTGGCCATGAAGAAACGATTTGATGTCTCTCAGAAATCGCTTAACCTCCAGAGCTTTCGCTTTGACCAAGGTATGACTGACAGTAGTCATTCGAGGGCAGGTGAGAGTAGAGGGGTATGCATGGAAAGGAGACTTGAGGATGGTAACTTGGGGAGCGGTTGATACTGGTGCTGGTCCAGCTGGCCCATCTCAGCTTCTAATTCCCTTCTTGGATCTCCTGAAGACTTAATGAGCCATGATATTGACATGATCCTGAATCGAAGAAACTGCATGTCTGCCACTCTGACAGTCATAGAAGAGAATTTCCCTGAGGTGAGACCGTATATTTAAGCAGAGGGGTGGGGTGGAAATGATGAAATGGAGGGCAGATTTGTCTCTGAGGCTCTGGATAGTAACTGTCACTCCAATTTGTCTTTCCAAAAGCTCTTGTCCTTGAACTTGTGCAGCAATAAACTGTACCAGCTGGATGGCCTGGCTGACATTATACCAAAGGCCCCCCAAATCAAGATCTTGAACCTCTCCAACAATGAGGTGAAGAAGTGGAAACCAAATCTAATTGGGTTTAAGGGTGGGTGGCAGTGCTCACCAGAATGATGATAAGAGGCCAGAAGGTGCCTATAGGTGGCTCTGGGGCTCTGATATCTCTGTCCTTAGGACTTCTATCCCGCCCCACCCTCCCCACCTCATTTTTTCAGCTGAAGTCTCTGCGGCAGTTAGACAAGATAAGAGAGATGAAACTTGAAGAATTGTGGTTACAAGGAAACCCATTGTACAACAACTTCTCAAACTATTCCACCTATATGAGGTCAGTGCTAACCACTGCCAACCCTTCTGAGAACCTTCATTCCCAGTAGCCTGAACTATAATATCCATCTGCAAGAGGCTGAAAACCTGGACCTCTTGGGAGAACCATGTGTCTAGCCTTCTCCTCTCTCTGTCTCTCACCATTGCTTAGAGGCCCCTTTCTCAAGCCAGCTCCTTGCTCCCCTATGTTTACTATCCTTCTCCACCCAGGCTTCTCTGGCATGGCCTTCCTTGGAATTGCTCCAGGTAGCAGGATTCCTCCTTCTTTCCACTTCTCCCCGTCTAAGGCTGCCTGGGTCAGACCCTGGTGCCCTGGACTATGAGGGCTTCTCCTGACCAGGGGCTCCTGTTGAGACACATTTTCCTGCCTCTGAACCTAGAGGGGCTTCGCTTCCTGACCTGTGATGGGATTTCTCTCCTGTGCTACCCTGATATATATCCAGCTAACAACAGGGCCTTCTGCTCCATTTGAGGACCAAAGCTCAGGGGTAGCTGCATCTCTGACTTAATGACAGAAGCTGGGCCCTGCTGAGGGAGAAAGCTGGTCTCCCTAAGTGAGAAGTGGGTCACCTGCAGTAAACAGAGGGTATGCCACCGCTGGTTTAGTATGTGGAAACCTGGGGATAGAAGGCAAGTAGGGAGAGGTAAGGTGAGGTGAGCACTGCCCCCCCTTCCCGTACCACGATGAGCCACCCAGCCTCATCTTTCAGGAGAACACTGATAGACCAAGATGGTCTGATTCCTCCCTCAGACAGGGGACCACCTAAGGCAGGCACTGTTGTACAGGGGCCACCAGAGGAGGCAGGGGTGGTGCTCTCAAGAGAGACCACAAACCCTTCAACCCTGGCTCTGCAGTGCCCTGAGCCTTTCCTCCAGGAGAAGGTTCTGCTGCCCATGGCTTCTCGGGTTCCCATGCCCAGCTCAGATGGGGACACACAGGGGACCAAGTTCCTGCTTTCCATTCCATGGGCAGATGAAGGACGGACACAGTGGCAGCAGAGGAGTCATCATTTCCCCTTTCTTCCTGCTTTGTCCCTAATCCCCACCACCCACAGTTAATGTCTTTCCTTTGCCTCTCCGTGTCTTCTCTTTATTTTTGCTTCCACTCCCCTTTGTCTTCCTGGCTCTCCTCTCCCTTCATTCCCTTTCTCTCCTCATTCCCTCTCAGTCTCCAGATCCTTCTTCACCCATCTCCATGTCTGGGCCATCCCTGGAGGATGTCCTTGTGTTGTCCAGGACCAGGCCTGGCAGAGCACACCTGGTGAGGTTGCATAACTTCGAGTCTCGCTCCACTCCCTCCTCTCTCCAAAGTCTTCCCTGGGGAGTTGGAGAGGGAAGTAAGTGAATGAATCCCGGAGTCTCCACATGTCACTGGAGAAGGGGCTCAGGGCTGTCCTCATGTTAGCTTCCCAGGAGGAAAGAGACAGGGAAGGGGATGGGAATAGGATAACTGAAAGGCTGTGCCTTTCAGATAGTCTTTATGGGGGATGGGTGCCCAGTACCCCACAGGGAAAATGGGCCCAAGGCCTTTGAACTCAGGCTGAGTATCAGAGCTCTAGAGACTGCTGAATGAGCAGGACACACTGGACTCTGTTCATGGCATCAGCCTGTTAGCTCAGAGCAGGCTGTGTACTGTTAATCACTTATTTTTGTTTTTGAATAGTGCCATCCTGGATTATTTTCCCAAGTTGCTGTGCCTGGTAAGTTCTTACCTTCGTTATTGACACTCCTCTTGCTGACATCAATGACCTGTGCACCTGCTCTCAAGTCCTCTGTGTCTTGCTTACCTTATATTTTGATTCACTGTTACCTGTTTTAGAAAACATGGGATCCTGAATAAGGTATGGCTATTCTCCCTTGAAATCTGGACCCAAGCCACATACATATGTACAAACACATACATATTGCATATACTAGTAAAGGCTTCTAGGCCCTATTTATGGTGACGTCTGGCTCATAGGAATTGCCAGGACCTTTTCATACTTCCTCTCTGTCCCTCGTTTTACTAGTCTGTACTGCTGACTTCTTTCACTCTCTAGGATGGCAAGGATGTCACCCATTCAATGGATGTTGAGACTGGAGCTTCAGAGATACTGAAACCCTCCAAGGTGAGTCGGAGCTACTAAGCAAGATTTGGCATGTTACAAGGAAGACTTGGTCAACCTCATAGTTGCAACGGGTCTTTTACTTCCAGAAAAACCATGGAGTATCTGAGATGCTGAAGAATCTAGTCCTACAATTCCTAGAGCAGTAAGTACCCCTAGAACCCAGAGGCAAGAAGAGCCAGATAGGACAGGCCACTCAGGCACATGCATCCTCATAGTGGGGAAAGGCTTTTAAGTCCACTTAGGGGCTAAGACCTCCTTCATTCCTCCTTGATTCACCATAGATATTACTCGATCTATGACTGTGGTGACAGAAGCCGTCTCCTTGATGCATACCATGATGAAGCCTGCTTCTCCCTGACCATTCCCTGCAACCCCAAGGAACTGGTTCCGTGAGTATCGAATATCTAGTGACAACCCTGGGCCCAGTGACTGCCCAGCAAACACTAGCCAGTCCCTCACCTCCTGTTATTTTTTTGTTCCTAGACTAAGCTTGTACAAGTACTCAAAGAGTAACAGAAATATGAAGAATTGCAAAGACCATGGTAAGTGTGTGAGGGGGATGATTGGATGAGACAGCAGGGGTCAATCATAGAGACCAACTGAGTTAAGCAGGCCCTGACCGTCTCTTCTCCTCCCTGCACAGTTCTCCTGACTCAACTGCTGAAACACACAAAACGTGATGTTGTTGACTTCCTCAGGGTGTTGCCCAAAACTCAACATGACCTCAGCTCCTTCATGGTGGATATATGTATCCTGACCGTAAGCATCTGGGTGCTCCCTGAGGCCAACCCAGGGAGCAGAGGTGGGTAGGAGGTTTATTGGGATCCGGGGAGCTTGAGCTGTTTTTCTTTTTCAGGAAAAGATGCTTTGCTTTTCTGTTAATGGTCGGTTCAAGGAGGGTGAGTGTCTGTAGAGTCCCTTCCATATGTCTTCCACTGATCCTTCTCAGAGCTTTCCAGGATTCCCTAATTCTTTCTCTTCTTGTTCCCTTTGTGTTCTCAAGGTCCCACCATGCCCCCAATCCACCCTTGTCTGGTCTTTTTCCTTCCTGCCTGTCCTACCAAGCATTAGGAAAAGGGGCTTTTCCTTTGATGGCTCATGTCTCTATCCCACACTATACCACCTTGGGACATCAGTTTAACCTCTCAGGTTCCTCATTTGGAAAATGGGGCTATGAATACCCATTTCTTGGGTTGCTGTGAAAGATGAGGCAAATGAATTTGTGAAAGATTGTCACAGGTCCTCTTACAGAGTTGGGACCCCATCACTGGGAGGAGGTTTTTCTTATTCTTTCTCTCCTCAAAGCTGACAACTCCAGACTCTCAGGGGACAGTTGCCCCTGTCTGGCCCTCTTCAAAATGATACTCTGACCAGGGGCCACTGCTAGTGAATGTGTAAAGCATGGACAACTCTGAAGGATATTGTTGTTTCTTGCCCTAGAAGTGGAAGCAACATGCCCAGTTATTCTTCGTGCCTTCACTAGGATCTTCATTGTTATTCCTGCCAGCAATTCCAGGTAAGTACTGTGAGTACCACTTGGAAATAACCACCGCCGTCTGTGGGCAGGGGTATGGGGACAGATGGTATATTCCTCAGGGTCTCCCCACAATTGCAAAATTCCAAAAGGTAGGTCCCAGGAGCAGCCTTACATAGTGGTAAGATCATAGTCTGGAGCACAGGAATAGCATGTTCTCACTTTGACTCCTGCCTTCACTAGCAGTGTGACCCAGGTCAGGCTATACGACTCTCTGTGACTTGGCATCCTTTGAATAAGATGGTTAGATTATCCATCTTCTTGGACTGTTGAGATAAACCTAAAATCTGGGGAAGCAGGCAGGCACCATGCCAAACAAAGGTCAGTTCCATGGGAAGAGAATGTGTGCCATTCAAGGAATCTGTGAGGCAGGCAGGGGAAGGGATGACAAAAAAGTGGTTGAATGGGAACAGCATCGTTGTTGGAGTTGTGGGGTTTTCCTTCTGTCCAGCTGTCTGATTTCCTATTATTTCTCCAGGCTGTGCATCGTGAATGACACACTGACTGTGAGTAATGCCTGCCCCAAAGAGATCCAGAGCGACGTCTCTATCCCAGCGCGAGCACCCTCTTCCATCCCTGTGCCTACCATCTCCCAAGAGCAGCAGGCTATGGTGCAGGCGTTCTCTACCCAGTCTGGGATGAAATTCAACTGGTCTCTGAAGTGAGTGATGGGACATTGAAAGGCAGGGTGAACTGGGAGGAGCAAGGGAATAAAATGATAAGAACTGGCAGATAAACTTGAAAAATCATGGAGCTTTTGACCTGCCAAAAAGCACAGGCAAAGGAAAAAGGCACCCTAATTTTACACTGAAATATGTAAATGATCTTAAAAGAATATCATGATAAAATGGCATAACATTTTATATGGAAAAGCCTAATAAATTCACTAAAAAACCCTAAAACTACTCAAAGTAGCCAACAGTTTCAATAAGGTTACAGAATATGAGTTCAATAAACAATTATTATTTGCATTTCTATGTATATGCAGTGGACAATCTGAAAATGAAATGAAGAAAATTATCCAATATACAACAGCACCCAAAAGGATAATATACTTAGGAACAAATTAAGCAAAAAAGTACTGAATTTATACTCTGATAACTGAATAATATGTTTAATAATTAGCAAAGACCTTAGGAAATGAAAAGACAACCCCATTCCAATGGATTGAAAGTTATAATACTGTTGAGATGGAACTATTGCTCAAATTGATCTATAAATGCAATGAAATCCTCATAAAAACCTCAGAAGCCTCCTTTGTAGAAATTGAATACTGAGCCCAAAATTTATATGGAAATGCAATGGACCCAGAATACCCAAATAACCTTGAAATTGAAGAATAATGTTGGAGAACTCACATGCCTCAATTTCAAAACTGATTACAAAACCACAGTAATCAAGACTGTGTGGTCCTTGTTTATGAATAGAGCCCACAAATAAATCCTCACATTCATCATCAATGGATTTTCTACCTGGGTACCAGGAAATCAAATAAGGAGTGCTGGATATTTGCAAAATAATGGATTTGGATCTTACTCACATCATATACAAAAGTTAGTTCAAAATGTATTAAAGACAATTTCTCACAAGGTCTTCATTCTTACACACAGCTCTCCATCTGGTACATGTGTCCCAGCCTCCACCCCCAACCCAAATGGCATAGATCTAGTGGTGGTATTTCGTAGGCCAAATATCTAAATATCTGGAGATCACCTGTTTTCCTTCCCCAGGTGTCTGGAGCAAAATGATTGGAACTATGCTGTAGCTGGACAGAACTTCACTTTGCTCAAGGTGAGTCCTGGGAACAGAGTGCGTAAACGTTACATGCTTCTGGACCTTAAGGAAGGCCAAGAATGTGGAGGCAATGTTCCCTGGGATGAAACTCAGGGCCCCAGACTCTTCGGAAGCCCTAACTCTTTCTACTCTCTTTCTCCAGGCTGAGGGTAAGATCCCAAAAGAGGCCTTCCAACAAATCTCCTAGAAGGATCCCATAGAAGTGGTTTTTATCTTCATCAAGAACAACTTTATTTCTCTTCTTTTCTGACTGAGGCCACACCCATGAGTGATAATATAGGGCCCGCTTGATCCAGAAGCCAAAGTAACTTGTAGGTCTGCCTTTGAACCGCTGGAAGACCAGTTGTTCTGTGTATCTTCCTCATTCATGATTCTTACTGATTTTCATAATAAAAATTGATGTTGCACATTGTATGTTGTGTGTCCTGGATTGCTCTTCTCTTGCTCCAGCTGTGTGTCACCATATCCAAGACTGAAAAGCCCCACCTCCCTCTTCAGACTTAACAGTTTCTTGCAGCCTCATCCGACTTGCCCCTTAGATAGGTTGACGGTGATAGGACACTTGCTGCTTCTAAGAATTGACCTGTGGAGACAGTGCGACTCAATCAGAAGTTGTGCCTGGAACTGGTATGTTACTGAGGCAACAGGGGCTTGGCAAAGGACAACTGACTGGCAACAGTGTAGACTCACTTGTTTTGCTTTTTTATCTTATTCGAATTATTTCAAAGACCTTCTCATGAGCAATCTTATGACTTGCACACATGTGAATGGGAAATTGCCCTTTTTACCCTTCTCTCCATGCTTCCAACCTGTCTTCTCCTCCACTGTAATGCCCCTCCCCGTTTCTGAATGTGTTTTCTAGGGGTCTCATGTTGGCACCTAAGGAGTGAGAGTGAGTCTACTTGTCTGCCCAGTGCACTCTGAGAGATCTGACAACAGGCTCTCTGTTTTCTTTCTTTATGTGGTTCCACCATTTATTTCCACTTCCAAAGAAACAATAAAAACACAAGATCTCACAACAGTTCTGTGGGAAGTTCTCAACACCGGGCAACTAGCTGTTGACAATTGCAAACAAATATTGAACAGGACACTTGCAAACTTTATTTTCAATGCTTGCATCATGTTTGAACTTAGGACAAGTAGGCGCATACTTTTAAATGGAAATATATTTTTTAACACACAGCCATCTAGTTGATCGAGACTCATAGTGAGCCTACAGGACAGAGTAGAATAACCCCCCTGGGTTTCTGAGACTGTTATGCTTCAAAGGAGTAGAAAAACTAATTTTTCTCCAGCAGAGCAGCAACAGTTTTGAACTGTTGATCTTGCAGGTAGAAGTCTAGCATGTAACTCACTATGCCACCAGAGCTCTTCTAAATGGAAATAATAGACCCAAATTTTCAATTTGCAATTCTGTAAGTGATGCATAAATAAGGTTTGCAAACTCTGCCTCTGATATCCAGTGTCGCATAAATCATTTTCCAGCATATGCAACATTTAAATTCTTTATCTATGAGCACATTGGGATCCATATGTTGCAGTGTGCATTTATTAAACATCTTAATTGAGGGAGGACTTGCCAATATGTAAAAAAATTTCCTATCTTGTTTCTCCATATAGTACCTCAGTGACAAAAGACAAAGCCTTGTACCTACATCTTCTCACCTAGAGAATAGAAACCACAGTACACCTTTCAGTCACATTAGGAATGAGGCTGTCTCACTTGTTAGTGGGCAATGGTAGTGTTTGCCTTGATTCGGGCTCTCTGAGCTCCTGGATTCTCTTGTTGAAAGGACTCTGGAGCCTGTTTCACAACTCTTCTATTTCCTCTCTGTACATGATTGGGTCTCTCTATCTTTTAGCCCGCTCTGTAGCTGGATGCATAATTATGCCATAGCTCTTTTCAGCAGCTCCCTAATTGTTAATGGACATATTAACTATTTGTGAAAATGACACAAAGTACACTCTTTGAAAAAATCTTTACACTGTTAAGACGGATCATTTTAAATAGTTTACTTGGAACATAATTAACATCATATAACTTAATAGTTCAAGAATATTAAGAAGAGTTATGCAATCACCACCACAATCCATTTAAGAACAATTTCTTCATTCTCATACTTACTGTTTTTAGCTCCCCATTGCCTCACAACCTCCCTTGCCATGCCCGCAAGGAACCATTAATCCCTTAAACCAAAACTCACTGACATTGAGTTGATGCTAACTTGCGCCATTATTATGGAAGTAATTATTAATGCAGGTAATTATTAATGCAGTTACTGTCTCTATATATTTATGTATCCTGGAGTTCATATACAGAAAATTATGCAAAACAAAAGCAAGAAATAAAACATGAAACAATAGCAATGACAGAACAGGAAAAACGTCAATTGAAAAGAAAGCAGAAAATATTAAAAAATGATTAAACTTTAAAATGAGTCAAAGGGGAGATCAAATGATAAGATATTACATTTTAACCTAAATATATCTTCTTCTTTTAAATCATTTTATTAGGGGCTCATACAACTCTTATCACAATCCATACACACATCAATTGTGTAAAGCGCATTTGTACATTCATTGCCCTCATCATT